GATAATCAAACAATTTCCAACATGTTCGCTCAGTTTTTTAAATCCAATAATCCAATTATTCCATTAACTCACATGCTAACATTGACTATCCTTTTAAACTATGTCCAATGAACTCAATAAATATCCCAGTAATACCTCCCAATGATGTAGTAGTTTATCTGAAATCCTTAAAGCAGTCCTTCAGTTATGGTCCTGACCAGATCCCCACTTGTTTTCATTGAAATTGTGCTGATTATCTCTATGAGCCGTTAACAGCCTTATTTAATTTGTCTCTTAAAGAGGGCGTTTTTCCAACTGTATGGAAGGAATCGTTCATAACCCCCTTACATAAAAGCGGTAGCAGGTCTTCAGTGGAGAACTACCGGGGCATAGCTAAGCTTTCTGCAATTCCTAAATTATTTGAAGCAATTATAACAAATCGGTTGACGCATTCTATCACTTCAAGCATTTCATACAGTCAACATGGATTTTGCAAGGGCAAATCAACTTCTACAAATTTACTTGAATTAACATCCTATATCTCAAAGGCATTTAGTGAGAGCAAAACTGTTGATGTTATATATACTGATTTCAGTAAAGCATTTGACAAAGTGTGCCACTCGTTGCTCATCTATAAACTTGATCTTCTTGGTCTTCCACCTAATTTTCTACGTTGGATCTCTTCATACCTCTATGATAGATCACAAAGGGTATTGTTTAAAAATACTATCTCTGACGTCATTGATGTTACTTCAGGAGTCCCTCAGGGTAGCCACCTAGGCCCGATTCTGTTCTTGCTTTTTATAAACGATATTTCTTCAGATATAAAATTTTCTAAAAATGTAATGTATGCAGATGATGTAAAGCTTTATAAATCATACGTTTCAATTAAAGAAAGGTCTTTGCTACAATCAGACTTAAACAGCATGGCTTACTGGTGTAAAGTAAATCTTATGCCTCTAAATCTTAAGAAATGTAAAGTAATGTGCTTCTCGCGAAGAGCTGTTCTGCCAGTTTCTTATATAATAGGTAACCATAACCTGGAACAGGTATACAATTTTGTGGACCTTGGTATCACAATNCAGACAAGATAGAATCAATTCAAAAACAATTCCTACTTTTTGCTTTAAGAAATGCCTGTTGGGAATCTCAATATAACCTTCCACCTTATACGAGCCGATGGCGGGAATGGAGGGTCAAAACCGTTGGGAATTTTATTATTAAATCATTGAATCTTCGCCCCCTTCGTCAAAGCCTTTTTGATTTTAAATCTGTTAATTAGAAATCTATTTGATTTAAGATTTGATTCGTTGACCATATAAAAACCAAATTTTATTTATGATTTAATTGGAAACACTCGATAATCGTGCTTGCCTTATATTAAACAAAAATTTCTTTAGTTTGAAAACGACAAATAAAATTGATTTGTCCAACAAATCAAATCACAAATAAAATTTGTTTTGTATTTCGTTGACGAATCAAATCAAAAATTAATTTTGCTTTAACCACATTTAGTATATCAACTCGTTTTCTTCAGAAGAAATCATGAAACTTACCCCTTTATTCTAACAGAGTCACAAAACTTAGCTCATCACTGTTGTGATTTCTAGTACACCGAAAATTGTGCCAAAAAAATTCGATTTTAAGTGGTAGAAAAATACACAGAAAATTAAAAATTTGTGTTGGTGCGACATTCTTGTTGCAGCAGCAAACTTTGAGGCGTAGTAGAAATCACAGCAGTGATGAGCTAAGGTTTGTGACTTTGTTAGAATACGGCTGTTAGGCTCAAAGAACGTACATGTTCTTTGTACAAATTTTACAACGACTAAATTTGTAAAGAAGTAACCAGTGTTGCCGCGCCCGAAAAATAAAGTTTAACAAAATCCTTCAAAAAGTTGAACAAATCCCGTTAAAATTAAGCAACTTATTTATCGGGTCAACTTATTGTCGGCCGCTGTGGTGTAGTGGTAAGCAGCGCGCGCTTCGGCTCCGCTGCCCCTGGGTTGAACCCTGGTCAAAGCAACATCGAAAAAAAATATAGAAAAAAGGTTTTTCCTTAACAGCGGTCGTCCCTCGGCAGGCAATGGCAAACCTCCGAGTGTATTTCTGCCATGAAAAACAGCTTCTCATAAAAATACAATTTCCGTTCGGAGTCGGCGTAAAACTGTAGGTCCCTCCGCTTTGTGTGACAACAACAAGGCGCACGCCACAAATCGGGGGAGAAGCTCGGCCAAACACTAACATATGTGTAAGCGCCAAACTTTTATTATTATTATTTATCGGGTCTTATTAAAAAGAAAAATGCCTGGTAAATTGGTTATAGAAATAAAAAGTAAGCAAGTCAGTAAGTAAAGGCTCTCTAAGGCTGAGTTTTGTCGTCAAAAGTAAGTATGTTATATTCTAAGGCCCAATTTCAAATGAATATTTAAATGCCACTTAGGTTTCGTTGGGTTTCAGATCAACTTTGTCTAAATATGCCAAACAATTGGCAGCATTGGCTTATTCTTTGAAATTGTTGTTGCATTTGCATTCTTGATTACATTTTCTGCTGAACAGCTGATTGTTTTGGGTGGGATTTGTTGGGATTGATTAAACAACCTACCGATCAATCTTGGTTGTTTGGTATAAACACAGGCTTGCATATCTCAAATTTAAATAGCAAAATTGGCCATTTAAGTGCAGACTAAATGTATGATCTGAAAAGGAATAGTGGAAATTAATCAACAATCTCTACTTAAGTAGGCCATCTGAAATCGGGCCTAACAGTTGCTAAATTTGAAAACTATTACACATTATTTCATAATAGTTATCTGCCCTTGCGCTAGTTTTTTGAATGCATGCAAAAAACGAGTTATTTAGGCATCATCCAAAATGCGCGTGTTGATCTTGTCACGCAAATGAAGGGACCTAAAGTTCGAGGTCGCCTCCGAACGGCAAATGGTTTTTATGAGAAGCGATTTCATGGCAGAATTACACTCGGTGGTTTGAAAATGCGACGACCGTAGATCGGGAATTGCGTAGTGCAACATTTGCTGGAACTTTATGTGGGATCTGGATGACAGTCTTCCTAAAATAAATTTGAAAAATTTATTGAAATAGTAACTCTTCTGACTATGAATTTTTGAGGAAAATTATCCTTTTTGACTATTTTAATAAAAATTATTAGCAAAACGAAGAAAAGTTTAACATTTCAACAGGCAAGAAAAACTTAAGCATTTTTGCTTAAATTTAGCAAAACGGCAACGCTGGAAGTAACTAAATCAGTTGATATTAATGTGCGTCTTTACTAATGATTTTCGCGTTTTACTATAACGTAAGCGTTCCCATGTATGCGGCAAGTAGTGCTCTCTAGTGTAGAGCCTAAATGTATGCTATAGCCTATAGCTTGTAACTACGTTTCTTGAAATGATTTCGAGAAGTGGACAAAGGCATACCCAAGGCACATTAATATGCCTTGGCGTAACCGCAGTAAGATTGTGTTTCTCCAAACTCATTTAAGTGGAAATTAACTGTAATTTTTATCAAATAAAACACCTCTTTGAGGTAAAATTTTCGAGTGACGAAAGCTGAACTAGAAACACAAAATTTATGATATCAATTTCGTGACGAAAATTATACGCATTTTTCAACTGCCTTTCAAACGTAGGGGAAATCTTTTTTATTCATACGAATCGTTGCACAAGTTTTTTTTTTTTATTGTGTTTCTAGCAGTAAACGGAAATTCGCAACGTACCGAATAAATAAAAAAAGATTTTCCATACGTTTGAAAGGCAGGTAAAAAATGCGTATAATTTTCGTCACGAAATTGATATCATAAATTTTGTGTTTCTAGTTCAGCTTTCGTCACTCGAAAATTTTACCTCAAAGAGGTGTTTTATTTGATATCAATTATTTTGGGGTAGCAAATTTAAAATCGACGAAAATACAAACAATAAACTAAATGTTTTATTTTTCTCTAATAAATTCCTAAAAATATTCTCTAAATCTAAATTATGTATGTATTCAAATCGATGTGTCCATTGAAACACATAGTTTTTCGAATACGGAATAAAGCGAAAAAGGATGATCGAGGATATGATGATATCAAGGATGATATGTATTCGAAAAAATTAAAAATTAAAAAAATATGAGAAATGATAAAAACTTATCAACTTGGTACCAACTTTGGACAATAAACAACTGTATTCGTCTGATTGCCTCGTAGTTTAATTGTTGTTAATATTTCTACTGGTTGTGGGGCGCACACATGTGCTTTTTTTAAGAAGTTTCACTTCTATCACGTGTACGGTGTTGCACTCGTGCTATTATACTAATGATTTTTTCTCAAGTATTTTTGGTCAGTGGCAATTTATACAAATGTATGTAAGTAGTAGCGTACAGACGCCACATACATACCAAAGCATCTCGTAGTGGAGACACAAACCAAAACACATTTACCTCTATATCTCTCCAACTAGTGGCCGGAACTTAATATATAAGGTATCGTTTGAAAGGTATTGCCCTATAGAATAACACTAAATATGTTGGGTGTACCCATATGCCCCCTAAAACCGACAGAAGCACAAAAACGTTTTTTGTTTCGCAACACTTTAGCCTAATTTTTAAGAATCCGGTTAATCGTTTACGAAGCTTGAATATATTTTCCACACACACTCTGCAAGACCTTCCAACGATTCATTTCAGCATGCTGCTTTCTTCACTCGCGCGCACTGCCGTGCGCTGTGATATATATAAGTGCGTGATAATTATAAAAACTTACTTAATTTACTAAAAATACATCATAAATGCAAAAACTATGTTTATATTTCATTGTGCGGGGTTTTAATGCAACTATTTTGCCGAAGTGTGTACATAAATATAGTGTTTATTGTGTGAAATAGCGCTGAGAGGTCAGTTCAATTTACAAACTTTAACAACAATAACTTAAAAACTATGGCTGCAATTTAGTTTGGCATCCCCGGAGTTCGGCATTAAGGAGGGTACGGAACGATAGAGGGAGTTCTCCTGATTGTAAATATATATACTTTTAGCCGCAGCAGACTTATAGTTTTTAAGTTATTTGTTGTTAAAGTTAGTAAATTGAACTAACCTCTCGACGCTATTTCACACAATAAACACTTTATTTATGTACACACTTCGGCAAAATAGTTGCATTAAAAGCCCGCACAATGAAATGTAAACATATTTTTTAAATTTATAATGTATTTTTACTAAATTAAGTAAGTTTTAACAATTATCACGCACTTATATATGTATACGCACATTGTGAATACAGAACTGTTGATTCAACCATGGTTTCACACTGACATTAGAAGGGTGCTGCCACATCTAACAAAATAACAATAAAAGGTAATAGTTTTTATCGTACCCGTTTTCCTGTTCAGCGTTGAATTTGTAGTAAAGGAGGGTTTGGGGTCATATTCCCCATTAAAACTTTGGCATAAGTAAAGTTATGTCACACAGAAAGGAGAATTCTACGTAGTAAGGGTTATAATCCCTAAGCGCGGCCGAAGGCCGCCTACGCAGAAAAGTGTTCTGCGCAAAAGTACTGTGGCTGGTGTAGCTGGCTCATGTTCTTTTATTAATTTTTTACTGACATTTGTAACCCCCTTTTAATGGGTGCCACTGCCAAAGGCATATTACTGTTTTTAAAAAGTACCGTTGTTTTTTAAATCTGTTTTGGTACTATTTTCTTAATTCTTGTGTTCTTATCTCAACAGTTGGGTGAATTAAGCGCGTTTTTAAATACTGTAATTAATATTTTGATTTAAATTTTAGAAATGAGTGAGATACAAGCTGGTATGTTTTTCTTTCTTTTTTTATGTTCATACACAGATATAATTACTATTATATTTATAGATTTTGATGTACCTTCCACCAGCCGTGGTGTTAGTGCGCGGAATGCCAATGTGCTGACCGTGGCTGAAGTAGAAAATATGTGGAACCTAGTCAAAATTTATAAAAGATTGGATACGCGGGAGAAGTGTATTGAATTTGCCGAGGAACAGGGCCTTATATTACGTAACAAGTTGTGTCGCATCCATAAGGCACCGATGCTTGTGTCAACCGCGGGAAACAATACCGTCGGCCTTTTCCGATGCCGCAAAGGGATCTGCCGTTCTAGGGCTGCCACTTCAAGGGCCGCTGGGACGTGGTTTGAAAATGCGAAGATATCGCTTCCACATATTTTTTATCTTATGTATACATATGCTTCGCACTGGCCGCAGGCTCTCGTCAGGAAGGAGAATTTTATCGAGGGATCCATTTTATCCAGCGCTACCATCTGCGATTGGTACAACTATTGCCGTGAGGCAGTAGTATTGTACGAAATTGATCAGCAGGAAGTTTTGGGGAAAATTGGGGGCCCCGGTAAAATTGTCCAAATTGACGAGAGTAAGTTTGGAAAGCGAAAATACAATAAAGGTAACATAAATCTATATTGAAAAATACCCTTCGACTAAATGATTTTCTTTTTCAGGCAGGAGAGTGGAAGGGCATTGGGTCCTTGGAATGCTGGAGGACGGCAGCGAGGATATTCGCTTGGAAGTGTGCCCTGAGAACATTCGGTCGGCTGAGGTGCTCATACCTCTGATTAAGAAGCATGTACTCGAAGGCAGCATTATTTGTACGGATTATTGGAAGGCGTATGATTGCCTTCCTAATCACGGGTATGAGCACCGGAAAGTTAACCACAGCGATCCCGATAATCCCTTTGTAGCAGAAGACGGTACACATACGCAACGGATTGAGTCGCAATGGCGTGTATTAAAAAGATTTTTTACAAAGGATAACTATAATAATCCACAAAACTTTGCGGATATGATGTTTGAGTACATGTGGAGGAAAAAAATCGCCCGAAAACATGAGGATCCTTTTGTAAAAATAATTGAAGCGGTGAAATATACATATAAACCATAATATTGTGTATTTTTCCTTTTGCCTGCGGTGTTTTTTTAAACCATATTTTAAAAAGTGAAAAAAATTTTGGCCTGCGGCGCTTGTCATTTTTTTTTTTATATATTGGGGGTGTTTAACCCCATACCCTCCTTTACTACAAATTCAACGCTGAACAGGAAAACGGGTACGATAAAAACTATTACCTTTTATTGTTATTTTGTTAGATGTGGCAGCACCCTTCTAATGTCAGTGTGAAACCATGGTTGAATCAACAGTTCTGTATTCACAATGTGCGTATACATATATAAGTGCGTGATAATTGTTAAAACTTACTTAATTTAGTAAAAATACATTATAAATTTAAAAAATATGTTTACATTTCATTGTGCGGGCTTTTAATGCAACTATTTTGCCGAAGTGTGTTCATAAATATAGTGTTTATTGTGTGAAATAGCGCCGAGAGGTTAGTTCAATTTACTAACTTTAACAACAAATAACTTAAAAACTATAAGTCTGCTGCGGCTAATAGTATATGTATTTGGAATCAGGAGAACGCCCCCTACCCCCCTATAGCCACGATTTTTTTGTACGCGGGGGATGCCAAACTAAAATTTTCCCAAAACTATAAGCCTCCGGTGGGTAAAAGTATATATATTTGCAATCAGGAGAACTCCCTCTACTGTTCCATAGCTACCTTAATGCGGAACTCCGGGGATGCCAAACTAAATTGCAGCCGCGTTGTATATTAAAAAGTGTTTCTTTTTCGCTTTTTAGTATTGTCTGTATAAAATTATGCAATAGATACTAAAATAATTCAACTTGCTGTGAAAAGAGAACAGAAGACTATAGTTGCATTCCCTAACTCGCAAGAATTTACAGGAATTTACTAGAAAGCGTTCCCGTACTCGGTTCTCAGGCTTCTTTTCCATTTTGACAGTTTTACAAGTTTTAACCCAAAAAAGTTGGGGAACGCAACTTATGCAAGCAAAATGTTGTTTGCTCACGTTTAGTATAAACATACATATGTACATACATACATAATTTAATTTCATATAAAGAAATCGGGTGTCGTCCATTTCCGCTGTTGCGTATGTAAATCGTGCCTATATGTAGGCGCAATATTTAACTTCTTCTGGCGGGGCGACATCTAGAGTCTTCTAATTGTCAAGTTGATTATATAGAAAAACGTTATATGAACAGATTAATGGAATTGTAATTNTTTAATTTCATATAAAGAAATCGGGTGTCGTCCATTTCCGCTGTTGCGTATGTAAATCGTGCCTATATGTAGGCGCAATATTTAACTTCTTCTGGCGGGGCGACATCTAGAGTCTTCTAATTGTCAAGTTGATTATATAGAAAAACGTTATATGAACAGATTAATGGAATTGTAATTTTTAATTTTTTTAAATTTGTTTGAGCAAAATCGGACTAGTGGTTCTCGAGTTATGTCAAAAAAAGACCACCAAAGGTGACAATTTCCCAGCGAAACGCCGGGACACTTATAACTTCTTTTTTACCGATATAACTTTCCCCGGTAGTTTGAACCCTTCCCGATCACTGACCCCTACCACTTGTCTCACAGTGTTATTAAACGAATGACGAAATATTACTTACAACGCCATTGTGTAACTTGCCACCAAAACTTGTTGGAAATTTTCAAAGCGGATATAGAATTCAATGTAAATCACTGGGAGCAACACATCGCGTAAAGTTGATTTCACGACTTTGAGGGAAAATGTCTACAAATACCCGACAAACTTCTTGTAAAAATAAAATAAAATTATAAATTAAGGTTGGAGAAACTCCACTCTCATGTCCATACTTCATTTAAAGTGCCCTCATCAAATTTTAGTGTATATTGTTTCAATGGTGCTATAATTTATTAACGCTTCAAAATGGGACTTTTATAAGCGAGGAGTTTCCCAAGGATACGAATGAAAAAGTTAGCATTTAGTTTGAAATATGATGTAAATACGTGCAAGGATTCCTCCTAAATTTTGGAACTTTGCAGCCACTAGGTCGCTATCAGTTCTTAACGAACTGTATTATTCCACATATGTAAATGTAAATACTCTAATAGTTAACAATTTTCATTCACTAATCGTACAATAAAAATTAACTTGTATCTTCAGCTTTATTTCTGTTAACGCTAAGCATACCTAAACCTAAATTCAAGTAAAAACTCAGAGAACAAGATAGTAATTATTTTACCCTTTTTAAGTAAATGACTGTTTGTCAGACTAACAAAAGTAAGCTGAAAAGGACGTTCACAGTTGATAAAATTATCGAGGAATAATCAGCGGTTTACCAAAACTACCGAAATTGATGCGTTTTAACTTATTGCATACATTTTTTGAATTTGAAATTGATTATGAATTCATAGAATGCGTACCCCCATGGCCTCATTGCGTAAGGCAGTCTGCACACGGGTCGTATAGCTTTAGACGCGTATTAGATGCATCATACGAAGGTTGTACCTAGGCTTTGATGCTGCACACTGCATTTAAATGGAGGGCTGTATACGAGTTGGCAGCTTCACGAATTCGTCAAAAAGCAAGCTATGTAGCTGAAAGTCGCTTGGCGTACAGCAGTGTTGGTAGCTAGGCATACGTACGCTTAGAAAAGAGAAATAAGAAGTTTGTTTACAATTTTCCGTGTGCGTGCAAGCATTTCATACAAAAAAACGATAAGACAATAAAATCCGTGCAAATAATAGACAAATAACTGAAAATTAATTAACGAAATAATAATTTTGCATCACATAACATTTTTTTCCTGATACTTTGACGCTTTGAAGTTGCTTCGTGTGAAGATCTTGAAGCGTAGAGGAATCGTTGCTGCATACAAAATTTTACACGCGCCTAAAGCTATACGAACCATGTGCAGACTGCCTAAGTCGTAAATTAGGCTAAATTGTACGACTCGACAACATTGGCATTATTAACTGTCGTGCTGATATAAGTAAACGACGAAAATCGTCGAAAACTATACGGTTCTGCCAAGTTTTTCCGTTTTAATACACTGTCGAGTGGAGATTTTAGGCAGTGACTTGAAATTTTCAATGAGGCTGAATGTTTGGGAATGCACAAAATAATGGATAGCCGCTATAACCTCCCAGAAGGAGAATGGGAATACATTAACTTTTTCTACCAAGAAAAGCTTAACAACTACGGTTGAACGAAAAGATGAATCGCAATGTAATCGAGCGGATGATGTGTAGTTTTGAAGTCATAAAAAAAGCAAAAAGTTTGAAAACTAACTCAAGTATGTTTTTTTTCACGTTAGCAACAGCTGTTGTAGTCGAATGGATGCGTGTACGACTGCCGGGTTCGAAACCTGTGGCACGGACTTAATTTTTTATTTATTTTTTATTCTATTCATAGATTCTTTTTATAATTTCGTAAAGCGACATGCGCCACATTACTTTCGTATGGCATCGCTGTGGAGAAATTCTTGCATCTTTTCGTGCGTAGGTTATAGGGGCTATCCATTAATTTTTGCATTCCCAGACATTATCTTTACTACGCAGACTATTCACAGTTATTACTTTAACTGAATTTGTAACATAAAGGCTGACTTCTAAAACGTACCAATGAATGTTTGGATACTGTTCTATTGTATTATGAGTGTTTTTTTTTGGTAAGAAAAATCTCACTCGTTATCATGTCTGTTTACACGAGGATCTCTAACGCGGTTTGAGAGTAAAATAAGTATTAATAAATGAACTTATGCAAGAACACAATACAAGATTTACAGTGACAAAACAAAACAAAAGAAAAAGGCGAGGATAAGTGGAAATAGAATAGCTGACTTTGCCGAATTTGCCAAGAATAAAGTAACGGTACTGTTGTTTTCTCTACATTGCGATAATTATGTAATATTTTGTCATTCAGGTGTCGTAAAAAATGTTGAATAGACGCAAAAAATTACTTTTGGGTTTCCTGTCCCTATATGAACAAGAATGATAGAATACAAGATTGCGCCAATCGAGCTGAGAGCAACTGGCCGTGACGTCAAAATATACCAGAATGAGAGAGCAAGACGAACTCGACAAGAAAAAGAAGAATCATCGAACAAAAGGCAGTATTGCCAAGTTTTGAATTTGAAAAAGCACTAACTTCTTCTGGCATGATTGAAGGTGCTGCACATATTTCGTTGTCGCTTATGATTGTCAATGTGCAATGATTTTGTTTTAATTTTTTTAAAACTGCTTCGCACACTTACGATTGCTATAAATTTTTCTTCCATTTTTTTTAAGATTTTCTAATTTGAAATCTTCAAACTAAAAACAAAAGCTCCAAAAACGCACCAAGCACACAACTCAAAAATTTTCGCGTTTTGAATACCCACTAAATTTGGTGCGAAAAGCATCAAGTTGGCAACAGTGAATGTTATGACGTCAGCGATTGGGTGGATGCTGTCAAATCGACGAAGAGATGGTTAGCGGTCCGCGAATGGCGCGACCTTTATTTTCTGGATCGTGCTATATGAAGATAGAAAACAACAAGAGGAAGGAAAAACATGAATTACTTTAATATGAGTTAATATTCGTGAACAACACAGCTACGATAAGAACGAATACCAACTCTCATTACTTCTTAGACGGTGAGAATAAGAGTGAAATCCTATTCTTAAGGTACATATTTACTCTCATCGTTTATGAGCACCTTTAAGTACGCACTGTGAATTTGGCCCAATAATGATATAATAGAAGGTTCCACATTCCTGGCGGCGATGAAATTTCTCAAGTAAAAGTAAACAAAGCGGAATGGGAGGATAAAATATACTATAAAATAGTAAATTTTCTCAATAATAAATTTTTCCACAAAATGCATGAACAAAGGGCGAGTGTAGCAAATATCAAATCGCACGTATAGTTTTATTTGTATAAAATATGTACTAACTATGTACAATTATATTTTAGAAACTTTACCTTGGAAAATTTGAAGGCGATGAAAACTTGGTGGCTGTTGGATGTCTGCTGTATTCGACTCTCAAACGATAAGTAAGTCCGTTGTTTTTTTCTTTCCTTCAGTTAGCTCACAACACGGTTTTCCCTGCA